CATAGGAATGAATGGAGAAACTGGAGAAATGAGCAATAAAGCAAACACATGTTTGAACTATATTGAAGGTGTGGTTGTACATCCTTTCTTCATTCACACCCGTACAGACACAACTTACTCACGCCCACATTACCATTTCGTACAAACACTAAGACTGACACCCACATTCATCCTCAGTTGAATGCCGAAGTTCTATCATTGAATGATACGTGTCGAGTGTCGTCTTGATTGATCACAGAACAAAGACTCCATCTACAAACACTTATTGTCGATCGATCCATAAAAGAGAACGATTCGATGATTCAAAGCCTTGACTAATATTTATTATTATCTTCTGTCTCGACTAATCATCTGACATGGAACTTTACGATATGGGTTATAAAAGCCCTTTGTGAAGAAATCTTATCTTTTCTTCATAATATTCATTAGAATCCGATTAACATTCATCGATAGGAATATAATATGATCACCAACCATTACGGGTGGGTCAATATGAGTGAGGATATAATGAAGTAGAAGTTGGTGAAGAGAAAAATTAACAACAACATCCATCGATCCACCAACACTTATATCTCCATTTGACATTAAATCATTCATTAACGGAACAGCTACTCAGTGTGATTTCGAAAAGAGCAAGCTGCATGTGAAGTCGAAGGTAAATCTCTGAGGAAATGTATCTGCATGATCTTGTGTTCATTCGAAATGACTAAGACATCAGCATATACTTTTTCTGTTTTGTCGGGAACAATTATTAACAGTAGTCGAATGGGCTTATCTAGTAATGAATTGAAAATCCTCAAACATCGATCAAACATTATATTCTCTGAGCAACAGCAATTATCATCTGGTCGAGTGTCGGCAGATTCGTCACCTCCCTGACAAGAGACCTTGGTCCCTATCTACCAAGCACTCGAAGCGATCAATCGTGAACATGATGTTCGCATTTGCTTTATTCCTACCCATCGACACCGACTCCACTAAAACAATAAAATTTCATCTGTTATTCTTCATCTACTGTAGACAGTGAATATTCTAGTCTGAATAGTTCTCCAGAAAAATTATCAATTATCGACGTCACGATGGCAACAATAGTAACGATGATAAACAACGATTCACACCTGTCCGCTACATGAATTCATCATTGAAAAAAACAGACGGAGACTCGTTTCATGATTAATTCATCAACGATTTCATTGTCTGTGTTCTATTTGTTGAGTGTTGAAGAATGTATATGAAATTATTTCCGTTTTTTTTTCTTTTTTCTTTTCTCTGTTACTCTTAAATTATTAAAATTATATTTTCTTGCTCTAGCTCTCTGTCATAAAAAGAAACTATTCTTCGATTTGCCTGTCTACATGCAACATTCACAGTACGCCGATACTCGATGGCGACTAAAGCAACACTATCGACAACCGTGTTAACGGTGAAGTTCGATTAGTTCAAGTCTCTTTTGATAGACTCAGCTTTATCTCATTATCGTACTTCTGTCACGGGATATCTTTCCATTCGTATGCTTTCATCTCTATGTCATCCACTATCGCTGGAGAAAATTGAAAAAAACTTTGTCAAACATACTTCTCCTGTTAATAATAGTTAATCTAGAAATTATTTTCATTTCACTAACAATAAACAACGTCTATGAAAGCTAAGCATAGTGTCGATCAGAAACACTCGATTACTAGTTCGACGAACAAGATTAATAATACGAAACGAAAAATTAACATAAACCAACGTGTATCAGCTTAGTCATTGGCTTTACATCAAATATAAAGCAAACAAGAGACAGATCAGAAATAGGATAGAAAAATCGTTGTCTGATTAAGAATCATAGCTGATGATAGATATCAAGTGAATATCTAAGTGCAATCTAATTTGATTTCATATTGACTTGACTGCATACGTTCTTCTGAAGATTTCATCAGATTCCATTTTTTGTATGAAATGTGCCAATGATAACAATTGAGTACGGATACTATTCCATAGAATACTGATGGTGATAGTGATTTTCTTTCCAATACAAGAAACAAATCTGCATCAATTTCATTTCAGTTTTGTTTTCCTCTATAGGTAGCAACCTCTCGAACTTTTTCTCACACCTTTATCTCACGTACAACCGTTACGCTGTGTGTTATTGACACTGCTTGCTTTACCTAAATAGAATTGCTTCATCTTTTTGTCGTCAAAACAGTTATTCCATTAATCAAAAATTGAACGAAATTTTCAATCGAAACAAACTTCATTCTAAAACACAAACCATAACTAATGCTGAAAACAAGACGACTGTCAACAGTAGAACTAGTGAGCTTTCGGTTAATAAATCTTCTCATTCCTTCTCCTACGAGACGAAAGTCTATCTTCCAGGTAAATGTCACTTGTGAACAAAAACGTCAACCGATGAATCGAGTTTCTTAGATACTAGATACTACGATCGTATTAATAGTGACAGTGATGACTCACACAGTTCGTTTTCGTAGAGTCTCGATGTTACCCTGAGCGCCATGCCTTTATCATATCTAACCAGCGTTGGTAACTATCAGACGAATATGAGCAAGAAAGTTTCGTTCGATCATAGACTCTCTGCTTTCACTATGACACTCTCCACCTACATCTAACAGCAAAGAAACAATGAACTGCAGCGTCATTCGCGCTAGTAGTGTGTATTTTGGTATGTGCGTGCAAGTATTTATCTTTGACAATATATGGCGTATACTTTTCAATCAACAGAAGTGTGTGGAAAAACAAATTATTGTATAGCTACATTTAAACTCTTTTCTTTTTTTCTCTGTTCATGCGAAAGAGAAATAACTATTAACTAAATGAAAGCGTTGATAATAGGAGAAAAATTATTAAAGACGACGAGAGAGAAAGTGCATTCGATGCAACGTTAGCGAAGCTTCCTACATAAGTCTCATCAAGACTTTTCCATCAGTAAGAATAGCTATGGCAGAAAAAAAAGGTTTTAATTTTTATTTTGCACTTCTACGAAGCGATAAACACATCGACAAAACTTTAACAGAGAATAAAACCGAGAAAATGAAATGCAAGCATTTCTTATTTGCTAGTGAAATTAATTTCAAATCAAACGCAGAAACAACTAAGAGCACATCATTCTCTTTTCAGTACAAGGTATGAAATCTCCAACATTGCCGATACGCCGTAATTTTGATAGTTGTTTGATGGAATAGAGAGTCGTATTTATAATACATGAAAGTATTATCTCGGTTCATTTCTTATTGTCTGATTCGTAATACTCATCAGCATTGATCAGAATATAGATCAATGTTAAAATGACATGTATCGTTTGAGTTTCAGCCCGCAATACGTCAGTATATGTATAGCTCATTTCGATCGAATATATTAGAGAACGATATAAGAATCCTGAGAAAATTCCACTATAACTCGATTATAGTGATTCAATGATAAGAATCCGCCTTTTCTGATCTCAGTAAGAAAAAAAAACTTTCCAACACAGCCCTTTGGAACAAAAATGTGTACAACTCACATATGTTCTTGAGTTTCATAATACTAATAAAGAATGCACCAAGTGACAAAATCTATAGCAGTCCATAGTTGCTTTCCGAAGATAATTGATCGTCAGGAAAATGATCTGTCTTATTTATTTCTGCATTTCAAACAAAATATTTTTCTTTTCTTTTACTGACACTGCTCTTCACTCGTTATTTTTCTTTTGCGTATTCCGTTTTTCTTAATTTAACATTGTTGTTATTCTAACTATTGATTTAACTAGTAAATGACGCTTTTGGAAAGATGCATCATATTTGTTGCAGTAGATCTTAAGGTACTACCATATATCTCACTCAATTGGCTAACACTGTTATTGATTATTTGTCAAAGCTATAACTTAATCAATTCATGTTCTTTATGTTGATCACATGATAACTGCGGTAAACCAATACATCATTACCACTCAGTCTTGGCATTCATCATATGAACACTTATCAGAGCAAAAATAAAAAAATGCCTTATTTAGAATATTCTCAAACGTATTTTAGTCATTCAAATTTCCAGAAAGGCTTTGGAATGCTCCATAGGTTTTCAGATCAGATTAAGTCTTATTGTTAATGTCGCTCAGAACCCTATTCCATTATTTAAGAACTCTAGGAAAACAAGGTAGTATCGCCGTCCTCGACTGCTACGAAAACGCACCCAATGATCAATGGCCTTTCTTTGATCTGCCCCTTTTGCCTTCTTCTCCGCATTATTAGAGAAAACATATTCATTGGCGTCTTACATGTAACTTTCATTGTTTTGTGAAGAATGAAAGAGACAGCCTTAAAGTCTCGACTTAAAACTTACACTCATTATAATTTTCTTCTAAAAACATAACGTAAGTTCCACAAAATGGGAAGTTTGGAGCTGTGCAGCTCAGAAAAATCAACTGTGTTATGTTTGATGAACTCTTCTAGAAGAGAACTGGTTTCATCTGTATTTTGCCCACAGTTGATTTCAATATAGAGAATTTTCCAAAAAGACTCTACCTTAGGTAAAAACAAACATAGTTTATGGAATTTCCTTAGTAATAGAAACCCAGTGGACATCATAATATTCTGAATCATCATCATTCTTACATTTTACAAAAGAATTTGGTCTATCTTACGCTTGCCTATGAAGAAAATCATTCAAACAAAATGTTTTCTAACATAACAAGAAAATTATTAGCAGTTGTTCAGCAATGAAATGACTTCAAACTTTTCTCGTGTGTATAACACCTTATTTTCCTTGAATATGTTTTCATTAACATAGACCTATGAAACTAAGTATAGAGTCTACGATTTTTATTGTCAATTCATCATAGGCACTTGGTGCTAACTCACAAGTCATAGTTCGATAAGTAAAGAAAAAGACTCATGCTGAACTACACAATTACATATTGTTCCATGCTTTTGGAACTGTAGCAGAGAAATTTTGAAGACCCTTGATGAAGCTGATTCTTGCCGTTTTTAAATCATATTGTTTGACTCAAGAGACGGAAACATTACATGAAATATTCCAGTGAGAAAACATTTCAAAGCTATCTTTTTTCTTCTCGAATAGTCGGGTCTCTTGAACAAGCATCATCAAGTCGATGGATTCAAAATGGTAATCGACAATTACTACAATTGATGACGAATCGACAAGTCAATATGAATGAAAATAATACTCCTGTTAGTAACAATCAATCGAATAATAATGAACAAAATTCTAAAACTCCACCATTGAGCTGGCCAGTAAACATAACAAATGCAAGAACAACAAATGAAGATGCCAAAGATATAGGCGAAAAGAATTGTAACGATCTGAAAAGTACTTTATCAAAGCATTTGATCTTTAAACAATTTGATAAAAGTCCCATCCAGGTAAACTTCGAATTAGTATTTTTTTAGCAAAACGGTTTATCGATTAAGTTTATCGTCTATGTGTACATGATGCAGGTACAGGTTCGTTGTGTATTTATGCGAGTTGGTGAAATTGATACATTGAATGAACGTTATTATGCTGAAATACTTTTCGAAGCTTCTTGGGAAGAACCGAAACTCAAAGGTCTACATAAGAAATCTTTCGATCCAATGGTCTACTGGACACCACAACTCGAATTAGTGAATNAGATCCTTTAAAGGGGGCTTCTAATAGGGGGAGGGCTTCTAATATGGGAGGGGCTTCTATTACGGGGAGGGGTTTACCTTGTATAACAGATCTTTTTTTACATAGCCTTACGTGCCCTGATGTCCTCTATCCAACGGTGAAAATCCCAGGTCTCTATCATTTTCCTTTCAAAAGTTATAAGAATTCTGCCCAAGCGACTTATTTTCAGAAATGGATAATAGTGCTGCCGCCATGGCAGCGACAGCTTTTTTAGGAAGAAATTTCAAAAATTCATACAAAATTTTCACATTCATATATGCTATATTGTAAGACTTAACGAATCTGATCGATTAGCAGTTCTAGTTGAGACCAGTCACAGTCTTGAAAATCAAAACATTTTTTTTGAATACCATCGTGGCAACGGAAGATTTTCAGCCGTGATGGACATCTCTATTCCGTAGAGATTATAATAATATGTTTTTATATTTTGAATACTTTTGTAGTAAAGATTATCAAGAACTGAATGACATACGTTTAGCAGAATTAGAAAAATTATATAAAACAAAATTAGATACAATACGAAATGAAATTACAAAACGTGATGAACAACAAGAATTACCGAAACGAGATGAAATTCGTATAGCTTTAGATTCAACGAAACAAGAATATCGAACATTAATGGAACAAAATCAATTACTTAAAGATAAATTAGGTAAATAGAAGAAAAAAAAAAAAAGGCATGATATTTCTTTATGAAAAACAAAAAAAACTTTCTTCTAGAACAACTTGAAAATGATCTTCGTAATATAATTGAACAAAATCATCAAAATTATGAAATATCCGATCGAGAATATAAAAAATTACAAATTGAAATATCAGAATTAGATTGTATTATTGTACATTTACGTGAAAATGCAGTTAGTCTTTGGTCAGAAATCAATACATATCGATATTTATTACTTAATTTACTTACACCAACACATGATAAATCTCATCAACAATTTCAAAAATTATCTCGTTCTTCTTCTTCTCCTCCACCCGAATTAAACAGTAATAAAATAAAACCAACTGAAAAATATACAACATCAACTATAATTGAAAATCATATTCAAGAAACAAAAAATTCAATATCAACAATTCAACCAACCATTAAAAAAGTAACAAAAACAAAATCATATCCACAACAATATCGTGATGAAACGACCGGTTTCATTGTACATATTGAAGATGGAATTATTTGGGTGCGAATTTAAACATTATATATATATATATCTATACATATGTCTGTGTGTTTAGAAAAAAAAAAACATTCATTTAAAATGTAGTATTAGTGTGTGCTTGCTTTGTTTTAGTTTTACGAAAAACATTTAAAACTGAAAGAAAACACTTTCGAAAAAAAGAAATCAGTTTTGCATTTGATAATAAAAAGAGAAGAAACAAAAACAAAAAAAAAACATTTTGTTTTTCTTTTAGAAATTTCATTTATTTTATTATCAATTTATTCTTTCGAGTACTAATATTGACATTCAAATACAATTAAAATTTTTACTTACTTTCAAATAATGATTTCGTAAATTATTACTAAAATCTTAATGTATTTCATATATCTGAAAAAGAAATAATGACAATAGATACAAATACATATTCTATATCGATAAGATCCGAAACAAAAAAGAAAACATATTTATTAACATGACAACAATTGTTAGGTCTCATCTGTTCGTTTCTGTAACAAAATGAAACTATGTATTTTTCGATTTTTTCTTTGATCCACCTTCTGCATTCATACGAAGTATATCACCAGGTGATGGATATGGACGCATTTGAAATAATTCACCACTAGCAGTTTCATCAACACCAGTCTTTGCTTTGCCTTTTAAGTCAAGACCAGATGACCAATTACCTCTAGAATAATAAATATATATAACAAAATTAACAAACTCATTTTGTTGAAATGCTTACCTTGGTACATCGGAATAAGATGATGGATCCATCTGAAATACACAAAAAATTAAATATTAATAATAGTTTTTGAAAAGTAGTTTACTTACTGGATCAGCATCATAACTCAGCATTTTACCAGCTAAAATTAAAAAAAAAATATTTATAAATAACTGACGAGAGAACTATCGTTATTGTAATTCATAAGGAGGTTTTATGAGGAAACATCCCTAACTATTAATCACCGATCAAAGTGATATTTTGCCTATAAGTAGGGCTCAGTGAGACTAGAAAAAGTCTAAAAGGATTCATTCCCATAGACCTTCCTTGTGGAGTTATGATCAATTTATTAACACTTTGTTCATATAGACACTTACGAGGGAACATATTCAACTGATTCCGAGCTTTCGACTTCATCTTTTGGCTACAGGTAGGCCTCAGTGAGACTAAGAAAACCCTAGAAAAGTTTCAAGAAAATGAACGTGCCTTTCTTGAAATATTTAATTTCCAATGAACTTGGCAATTTGGTCCTCCTGTAATAAGAGGCTGTTTGTTTTGAAAAATGAATATCTCGAGAAAGGCACGTTCATTTTCTTTAAAATTTTCAGGACTTTCTAATAACTAATAGATCTATCTATGGGCAAAATTTCAGGTCAAAATTATTTGTTTTAAGGTTTTTGGAAATACCCTGTCCCGAGTAAAAAATCCAGTAAAACGGCCATAACTCTTCACTAATACGCCATGGGAACGAACGCTTCTAGGGTTTTCTTAGTCTCACTGAGGCCTACCTGTAGCCAAAAGATGAAGTCGAAAGCTCGGAATCAGTTCGATATGTTCCCTCGTAAGTCCTATGAAATATTTCTATACTGCTTAACAAATTGAATATTGGCTCTAAGTGCGCCAGTATGTAAAATACCTATGGTAGTAGAGATCCAAAACAATTTGTAACTAAAAACATTGTTGTTAAAGTATGGCAAAAAAATGCAATGAATGGTAACTGCATTGGTTATCGTCACTTTTCACTCTAAGGTGGCTCTATAGTCATTTTAATATCAGAGAAAGAGAACCATCTTAAAAGCTAAAACTTTGGGCGTTTCTACACCTAACTCCGGGCTACACACAGGCAAACTCTCATTGAAATCAGTAATATCAAGTAAGTAGGACTAATAGGTCCTATCAAGCAATGGCTCGTAGAGAGAGCTGGATTTTTAAACAGGCTCAAACAACAAAAAAACATCCTGTCGCACGTTCTGAAATTGTCAGGGAGACGACTTACGATTGGATGCGTGACTTGCACTTATCGAAGTGAGCAGCGACTTCAAATAATGATTACTTTAAAACAAATCGTATTTTTTATGTAGATTAATGTTAACAGCAGCTTCAGAGGCAAAGTATCAACTGGAGAAGCTCAGCTCTTCCTTTTTTTTATTTACGTTATTTAAACAATAGATGTAACCGTAAGTACTATTATGGCAATCGAGATGAACGATGCATGACCGATGTCGTCTGGAAAATTCCAGAGTATGGTTGGAAGCTGAAAGCAGGAGTACGATGTCTTGATCTAGTGACCGCCTTTTCTTGTTTCAGTTTGAAAATGGCCACAGTTGGACAAAGCCGATCACTGAACGCTATCACCAAAATACTGCTTTCAAGTTGCTAGGCTTTTTCGGAATATTTCGATTGTACAGGACATCTTTTTCGTCGTCTACAGCTAGAGTATAACACAGTCGGTCGTTTGAGTCATGAAACTGGCGATAGATATTATATTTTTCGATGCATGGAAAAACAAGGTGAAAAAAAATCAACTCCACTCTCACTGACGGAATATCCATGCGGACAAGATATAGTATGAAATCGTATACAATAGTAAAACGGCATACAACCAAGCCGATGGTCCAGACCTTGGGAAATAAGATGATTTCGCCATAAGTGGTAGAAAAATGCTGAGAAATCATTGCATCCGATCTGAAAACACTGAAGATTGATGGAATGTAGAAAAAAGCAATTCGGGTCAGAATATTTCAGAGTTTCTCCAGTGACTTCTGGTTCCTTTCAGTCAGAAATTTAAGAAAAGGTTAAGTGGAAGTCACAGAAAAACACCTGATGACTTTCTGATCTGGAATATCGCTTTCACGTTCTATCTATGTTCAATGTTTTTAGCCAAAATCTCTTCGTATGCATTCACTTGGGCGTACAATAAAAAAATGGCTATATACGGTAATCGTATTTTAGTCGTAAACATGCCCTAGATGACACAGCTACACTCAAATCAAATATGACAAACATACATAATTTTGGGTGAAGCGCATAATGTCGCTCCGTTTGAAGCTTTAACTTTCCCTCTGAATCCTTCCCTTATATTATAGCATCAAATTCATTCTCAAACAATACACTTCTGCTGCAGTAAGACGTGCATGTGAAAGAACATTAGAAAAAAAAATAACGAAAGCAAGCTCTATGTCATGGAAACCTGCATAGTGAAAGAAGAAACAAATCAGCAATGAAGTTTGTGCGCATTCATTTCTCTCATTGTTTATGCAAGTATTGCGCAGCTGTAAAATAAAAAGTATATACTCTGTCAACATACCATCATGAGACTAGTAAAAAAAACGAGAGAATTGTTTGAACGACAGCACACATATCAGGTAACTGTAATTAACGTTGCACTTCAACAGCAACTGAAAACGGCAAGAAGGGTTCGTTTCTGCTATAATGACTCGCACTTTATGTCTACATCTTCAAAGGAATTTGTGTACACAGTCAGAAGCAGAGAAATACTGGTTAAAAACCACAGTGGAGAAAATGTAATAACGAAGGAGAAACGAAGCATTTCTTTCTTCGATTGCCTGCCGTCGGCAGAAAAAAAAACAAAACCGAATCTCCATTATTTCCCTTGTAGAGTAGCATGTATGGAACAAAATTTTAAATTTTTTTCCGTTCTTACATTCTCTTCAATAGTGGCTTTTACCGCAGTGGTTACTCTCTTCGGCAAATAGTACGATGCTGTTGAAGCCATAGAGAGAAATCGTATAAAGGAGCTGTAATGTCGTACAACAGCCTTCATTCGCGATTTTGTTTTTTTCTGCTGAAGGTAAGATATTAGTAGTAGTAGAAATGGTTTTTTTTCATAATGTGATTGAAGCTTTTTAATACTAGTTTTGTTTGCTAATAGTTCTATTCCTTTACTGAGACGCAAATTCAATTGAAGATAAGAACAGAAAACGGGAGATAATAACAACAGTTAATCTTTCTTCTCGTTACCAGTTTTTCTTGGAATGCAGCATTCATAAAGGAGTCAACTAGTTTTCTATCCATGGCAAAAATGATTATCTCAAGGAGACAAACGACGTTCGGATCAAAATGATCGTTACTCCAATATGAATATAGTAATCTAATAAACACCATAATCTTATTCAAATCTTAATCTTTTCTCATTGAGAAAAAGGAAATTATCTATAGAAAGAATGATTTGAAATAATAGAATTATGTTTAGACATAAGCGAAGCATATTAAAAGGCTAGAGATAAGGAGTGAATGGTATTCAAAGCTTTACGAAAACGCTTGGCAGCAATAGAAAAAATGACTATACCACCCATTTTACCCCATGTTGTGCTCGTATGTAAACAATATGAAAATACACAGAACTTCTATAACCTTGTATACGTATAAACGAAAGAAAAATTATTTTTGCCTTGGGTAGCATTTTTCCGCGTGAAATGCGCATTTCTCTTATCGATCGAAAACTTGTCTACTGTTGCATGTTTAATGCGCCATCTGATAACTGTGGCGATGCTTGTTTGTACTTCACTGCTCCAGGAGTGCAACATAGGCATGAGAATCAGACATAAAGCCCCTTGCTTTTGAAAATGTCCTTGTTCTCGAGTGGAAAAATGCTGTTTTACAGAAGATTATAGTTTGTGGATAAGCGCGAATAAAGACATGGCACCACCTTTCATTGGAAGGTTAGTTCCACTTTGGAACTTCTTCCTTACTCTAGATTGCGTCAACCTCAGTTTTAGGCAACATACCACAAATAGGCTGCAACTAAACATCAATGATGATGCTTGCATTAGTTCATTGTCTCGTTGTGTATGCATTTTCCGCCTAGGGATGCAATAGTGACGATAACTGATCAACTGGTAGCCGGTGCCGCTCGGTATCCATTACACTAGTAAGGATTATCAACCGATAACCGTTCCTCAGATATTTCTTCAAACAATCAGATTTGAGCATTGTTTTCCTAATCAATCAGATCTCAGCATGGTTTTCACCTCAGTCGATCATATTTCAGCGCGACTTTTCATCAGATAAACGAATTTTAGAAGAGAAATTCTATTAGAAAGAACAAAAAAATCTGATTGTATGAAGAAATCAACACCAAAATATGGATGACTGAGAGAAAAGCCGCATCGAAGTGTAACTAGATACGATAGAACTAGGCTTAAATCTCATTAGTTGAGAAATCACGAGGTTGAGATCTGATTAAGTGAAAAATTACCGTGGAAATATCGATCAATACCAATTGATACTGGTTACTGGCTGAACGATTACTTGTTCATGCTAGTTATCCGTGGAATGGTTACTTGCTAAGCCGGTAGTTAGTTATGACCGATGAAAAGGAGGGGAAAAGCCACTGAATAATTGTCACCGTTGCATCTCTTCATGTGCCCTGCTATAAAATGGAAATCGCATACCTTGCCAACAAAATCAGAGAAACTTTGGATCCGAAATTCCCTGTTTCAATACTGAGACTTAGTACGATGCTATGTAAGACGTGTGATGATGATGGGTCAGAATGGATAGAAGAATAGCTTAGTTGTCGTGTCTAACATATAAGATGTTGCAGGAAGTATTAAGATAACTAGATTGGGCTCCGAACAAATGAAATTGTCTGACACACTGGAATGAGAGGCATGACTTACAGAGAAAGCATCATTATATTTTTATTGATCGTACTATTGCAGGCGCGTTACTAGAAAAATAATGAAGATTATCAAAAGTAGAAAGTCAGTGTGCTCTATTGTAAGTAGAAGCAACACTATATATCTTTTAAGTTTTTACTATTCAGAGTACAAAGAGTACCAATCATCACGTTTTTCACAGACGAAAATAAATTTGAATCGATTCGGTTGTAGATTGCCTCTGCTAGATTATCACACGTCAGCGCTTCTGATCATATTTCTTTTGAGCTGGATAGATTAGCCTCTATCCAATACAAAATGTATTACCCATTTCATTCATGAACTGCAGTGAAATGACGCTACACCTTTGCGAACAGCATCATTGAAGGGATGAAGTGGCTGAAAAATGAGAGGCACTGATCCATCGTTTGCAAGTCTTTGATCGTTCCATTGCACCATTTTTCTTCAACATGTACTTAGAGATGTACGAGCTCCTGATTTTCAAATACTGAAGAT